GAGGCCTTCAACGAGATGGATTGACACAGTGGCTGCGATGATGGGCTCGAGTATAGCAGGGATTGTGGGGCTGGTGCGGGATCAAGCAGTGTTTCGTTCTGCTGTGCATGGGGTCGCTATGAGTCGGAAACGACTCGACGGCACTTAACAACAAAAAGATCTGTCATTATTTTAAAGAATATAGAGGAAAAACTGTGTCATTATACAGAGAACATACTTTAGGGAGAAAGCCTACTTCAGAGAATACTCACGCATTCTCAGCACACAGGGCACATCTGTTGCTGTATGTTTTCCCATCTGTGCCACAAACAGCTGCATTATCAAGAGTACAGATAAAATCCCCATCTCTTTCTCCTCTTCTGAAATCATCACAGTTCAGCTACAAGAGACATGAACAAGAAATATCAAAATATGAGAGAGAAAATACTCCTCAGGTACATAACTAGAATGACATTTTAAGCCTATGACAATGTAACTCACTGAAGGGGAAAAAAAATTAAAGAGAAGATAGTAGGCTAGTAAAGTCATGAATAATAAAACATGATCCAAAGATAAGAAGATATACACTCTTTCCTCACTTATCAATGATCTCATTAGTTAACATTTCACATTTATGAGAATAGTAAAACATCTACTATCTTATTATTTTTTGCATTAACTATGTACATCCAGCAGTAACAAACACTGAAGTGTAAGACAAGAGTAACACTTGGTGTGATGGTTAAAGTTATATGTTAGTCTGCCTAGGCCATGATTTTCAATGGTTTAGTAGTTATATAATGTAGTAATTTGGCAATTATGTAATGATGCAATTTGCCAGTTATGTAATAATGTAGGCAAACTTCATTTTGTGATTTGATGTGCTTGTCTTCCATTTTCACATAACACTGGTTTTCTCAAAAGTTATGCTTAGAGAACTAAGCCAAGCCACCTCTCTGAAACTTAGTTTGGTGTTTGTCTGTCAAATTCTCCCTGCCTTGTCCACAGAACGGAAAGAATGTTGAGCAATCTACTTCTGTAGTGTTAACACTTCAGAAACCCAAAGAGGAGTCGCTATGAGTCAGATCTGACTCAACGTCAATAAGTTTGGTTTTGGTTTGGTTTGTCCACAGAGTGGTAGTGAGATCCAGTAGATAATACAATGTTCTCTAAACTATAAGCCATAATGAAGTTAATAGTATCATAGGCTAGGATAGTGATTAAGAGCCAGACTTTGGGATTCATAATTCTAACTCTGCCACTTACAAGCTATGTGATTTGGGCAAGTTATTTAACTTCTCTGTGCTTTAGTGGCAATTAAAAATAAAAATAATATTATCAGTCTCTCAGAATTATAAAGATATTTAGATATATTTATAGCTATATCTATAGCTATGTTGTCTGTTGTTGTTATGTATATAGCATTTAGAATAATATCTAGGACATCATAAGTATTTATTATTGAATTAGATTTTACTTTAAATGATTCTTTACTGACCATCAAAGGAATAAAAGTAAACCTCTCTTAGGGGTAATGGGAGAAATTTCCAAATCTCTGCTATAAGAATATAACACATATGTGGAGACAAAACTATATGGTGAGAAAAACATCTGCTCCAGGAAATAAGTTAAGATTAGGGTTTGAATCTCAGATCTGCCACCCACTCATGTCATCTCTTTGAATCTCATTTTCCTCATCTGCAAAACGAAAATATATACCCTGCCTACATATTTATATCCTGGAGAAGGATATCATGCTTCGTAAAAGTGAAAGGTCAGCAAAAAAGAGGAAGGAAGGCCCTCAACGAGATGGATTGACACAGTGGCTGTAACAATGGGCTCAGGTATAGCAAGAACTGTGAGACTGGTGCAGGAGGAGGCAATATTTTGTTCTGTTATATGTAGGGTGATTGACACAGATCTGACTGTATGGCACCTAACAACAATAACAACATAAAAGACTAGTGGTGAAGAAAAAATGGATATTTATGAAATATATTTGATTCTTCAAATATAGTATTTTTTTAAAAAAATTGGCAATTCATTGTGAAATGAACTAGCTAAAGAAGATATACAATTAATTTCAGTAATAACAGTACCTCCTCCGAATGTTGACAACTTTTGAGGCCTTGAAGATTAGTTTCTGACCTGATGGGATAGCAGCAGTAAACTGGAGTAGGCAACATTGGTTTGGGAAACTTCAGCTCTGGGCTATATATATTTCCCTACCCTTACATTTTCTAAGAAGGACAAATGCTCAAACTTGACTTAGAGCACTATACAATACACTTTACTGAGAAAATAAAATAAAATAACAAAAATAATTATAAAAACTTGCAGTAATAATCTCAGGATGTCTGATGAGGAAAACATAAACAAAGAGAGTAAGCTGAACAACATGAATCAACTGAAGTGGAATTATTGGAATGAAGAAAACTACAAAAGTTTATCTAAATTATAAAGATGAACTAAAGAGATAAGAGGATCTCTGGTGGCATGGTGCCTAAGGCATCTAACTACTAACTAGAAGGCTGGCAGTTCAAACCCACCAGCCACTCCTCAAAAGGAGGATGGGGCAATCTATTTCCATAGTGATACCACCTCAGAAACCCAAGGAGGGGTCACTATGAGTTGGATCTGACTTGATGACAGTGAGTGAGAGTAAAGATATAAGAGAAAAGACCTGAAATACAAAAGAGGAAAAGTGAAAATTACAAAGTATGAATAAAGTAAAATTTTTGATATATGATATATTCAAATGGAAATAAAGCAATATAATGAATAAAAGTAAGAAAGATACAAATATATTATGAACATGTGAAGTATCAGATGGAAAATGCTCCTATAGACAATGAGAAGGGAGAAAGAATTTAGAATAGAAAAGAAGAGCTAAAGAATACGAAGGATAAAAGTAAGAGTCCCCAAAAGGAGGAAAATGCATGGGAACATGGCAAGAAATAATTGATGAAATTAAAAAAAAAATCCTAGAATTAAAGTGAAAAGGCAAAAAAGAAAAAAAGAGAGAAAAATGTCTAAAGCAACTCAAAGTTAAAACTCTAGCCAATAAGAATAAATTGTGGATCCAAGATGGTGGACTAGGCAGAAAGACTGCACAGACCCTCTTCAACAAAGAAAAGGGAAACCAATTAACACAGACATAGAAGATAATCCCGGACACCTGAGCCTTGAAGGGAAGGATATACAAGTGGACTGAACCCCAACTAGCAGAAGAATTTGCATGAAAATACCAACAAAGGAGACAGACGGAGCTTCAGTCTGGCAGCAATCCTGAGAAATACTGACAGCACAGACAGCTTAGAGATTCCCGAGTGGTGGTAGGACCTAAGAATTGACCTAAAATTGACCCTGCTAGCCAGGAACTGCATGGAGGACTGTACATGGTGGCCGGGGAACAAACGGAGAAGGTGAAGAGAAAGGTGGGCTGAACTGTGGACTTTTGCCGGTCCAGAGGACACTGTCATTTTGAAGATTTAAAAAGCAGCTTGACTATTTTGGGTATTTAAAGAGACAGCGCCCTCGCAGATTCCTGGGGCTTCAGAACACATTCTGCTTTCCAGCAACCCCAAGGACACTCGGGACCTGAAAGACTGACAAAGTACGACATTCCCCTTGTTACTCTTGGTGAACAGAGGTGTGGCCATCCTCCACTCCCACCTACCTTCTGGGACCACAGGAACTCCATCACAGTCTGTGTGCTCAGAGAGAGCCTGGGTGCCCTGCCCTGTCCTCCACCAATTTTTTTTTTTCTTTTCTCTTTTTTAATTTTATTTTTTTTCTTTTTTGCTTCCTTTTTTTCTGGTGATTAGTTTGCTTATATTTGTCTGTTTTAAAACAACTAATATTATTAATACTTCTGTCCTTTTT